TAATATTGTCATCATCGCTATTTATAAACATTTTTTTTCTCGTCTTTCGTCTACATTCCCGAAATGTTAAAAAGGGTCAGAAATAAATTATATTTTTGTTTTTTAATATTCAAACAAAAAAAAAAAAGAAAAACTGTAAATTCTGATGAATTTCGTTTCGAGTTTTGTAGAAAATTTACTTTTTTTTTTATTTTTTTTTTAATTGAGCGTGAAATTTTTCTATTTCCAAACTTGTGTGATGTGTGATCTTGGGCATTAAAAGAAACAAAGAAAAAAAAAACAATAATCCATCAAGTTATGAAGCCTTTTTTGTTTAAACAATTAAAGAATTTTAATTTCAGTAAATAATGAAAATTTTTTTTATTTATTTTTTAAAAGTCAAAAATAAAAATTTTTTTTAATTGTTTATAAAACAGAAAAAAAATTTAGGAATTTTGAATTACGATTTTTATTAGATATTTGATTTTTTAGTTTTTTTGTTTTTAAAAAATGATCTTTTATTTTATTTTATTTCAATATTAATTTTATGCTTTTTTTTTGTTTTCTATTATAATTACAGCAGTCGATAATTTTCATTAAAATTATTTTCGTTTTAAAATCAAATTTTTTTTAGAACAATTTTTTTCCTTTTTAATTTAGAAATTTTTTTTACTCATGTTCCTAAAGTTTCGAACGTTCAAATGAACGAAATATTATTTTTTCAATGTAAATTTTTATTGCAAAATAATTTTGCGTTCCTATAAAAAAAAATTAATTCTAAAGTGTCTAAACGTAAAATTTATTTTTTAATTTTCATTACAAGTTGATGAAAATTTTATTTTTTTAAATATTCTATTCATTTGAACGTTTAAAATTTGTAGATCATTTTTTTTCTTAGTTTTATTTTTTTTTCTTAAAGTTAAAAATATTTTTAAAAAAGAAAGGAAAAAGTTCAAGAATTTTATGATAATAATTTCAGAAATTTTAATTTCTTTTAACAATTAAAAAAAAAGGAGAAGAAGAGAAGTCAAATCAAAAAAAATGAAATTTTTTTTAAAAATTCAGTTCCATCTATTTTTAACATTAAAAAAAGTTTCAAAACAATTTTTTCATTTTTTTTTTTACTATATTTAATTCAATATTCATAATCTCAAAAATGAAAATTTATTCAAAGTAGAAATAAAAAATTATGCAAAATAAAAAAATTATTTCAAAATAGAAAATTTTTATTTGATTTTTTTTCGTGTGGGAAAGGGAAGGGGGCATTTCGGAAGAAAAAAAATGATCGTGGAGGGCACTAATTGCAAAAGAATAAATAAACAAACAAAAAAATAAATAAACAAATAAAAATAAAAAAAAAATGATTGTTTATAACGATCAACAAAAAACTCTTTGTATACAACTGTATATTTTACTTTGTTATTTGTAAAACACTCCACGATTTATGTAAATAATATATTATAAACTATTATAAATGACTATGTATAGAAATGAAGAGGACAGTCTGTGACGTTTATTAATTATTAATTAATTAATTAATTATTATTACCTCTATCGTCAAACTATTCGATGACTATTACTATTATTATGTTATATTGTAATTATTATTATATTAATTATTAGTTAATATTATTTTTATTATTACTATTAATATTATTATTATTATTATTATCATTATTGATATTTTTATTAATATTAATATTATTATTATATTATTATAATTAATATTATAATTATACTATTATTATTATTATTATTATTATTATTATTATTATTATTATTATTATTATAACTAGATATTATTTAAAAAAAGAACTTATCATTATGGTTAATTATATATATATAAATATATATATAAAAAAAAGAAAAGAAAAGAAAAAGCAAGAAATGTGAATGCGAAGTTATGTATTTGTGTGCGAATAAAAATATTTGTTTGCGTGTGTATGAGTGTGAGTGTGATAAAAAAAATTTGTTGAAAGAGGCTGTACTGCCCGACTAAAAGATAACACGAAAGGATATTGTTGCCAACTTTTAGTATGTTGCCAAAGTCCCTTTGTGGGTTTTTAAAAAAAGCGAAAGAAATGAAAAAAAAATTCATTCAAGAAACGAAAGTGCGTTTATTTTCTTCTTTTTTTTTATTACTGAAAAAAAATTTCTTGTTCGTAAAATAAATTTTTCCATTTCTTTTTTTTTTTTCAAAGTATTTTTTCCCCTCACCCCCCCTTTTTTTTGATATTTATTTTACGCGCAAGATGAAACATTTATTTTGAAAAAAAATAATCATTTTTTCTTTTTCAAATTAAATATAAAAATAAATTCTTTACGTTAATTTGTAGGTAAAAAAAAGTATTAACGGTTATTTTGAGTTTATTTATATATTAAAAACGAAAAAAAAATTATAATTAAAAAAAAAGATAAATTTCCATTTTCTTTTTTTTTCACTGCCAAATATAGAAATTTTATTTTTGTATTAAAATTTCCACGCACTTTCGTTTCGTTGAATAAAATTTCGCTTTTTGAAATATTTTGTGGGTTTTGAAAGTAAAAAAAAAAAAAAACAATCCGGTAATCTAGTCCTTTTTTTTCGTGAAGAAAAAATAAAGAGAAAAAGAATTTTTTTTTTCCCTCAAAGAATCATCGTATACGAAGCCATTTTTAATTTCTATTTTAATAATTCCATTTGTAATTTTTTTCCCTCTCCTAGTACTTCTTTTCTATCTCTCTCTCTCTCTCTCTTTTCTTAAAAAAAAAATTCATCATCGGACTGGATTTACCATAAAAAAGAAAAAAAAATTTCAAAACTTGACCACCACTTAATACTTTGTTACTAATATTTAAAAATGAAAATAAAAACAAAAAAGTAAATAAATAATTAATAATAATAATAAAAATTAAAACTCAGAATCAAGCAAAGCTGACGAATTATGAGATATTACAATTATTATATCGACCACAAGATTATCTGTATGAGGGTTTAAAAAACAAAAAAATATTATGTTAACGCTATTAAAAGAAAAAATAAAAAAAAAAAAAAAATGGTACATTTCTTAATTGTATAAAGGGCAATAAAAAGTAGGTTTTTGTCGATCATGTATTTTTTTTCTTTTTCATTTTTTTTTCTCTTTAGCTTTAAAAGCTGTTCTATTCTGCGACTCATAAATAATGAAAAAAAAGAAAAGCTTTGCGTACGGTACTGTGATATGTCGCTGTTTATTAATTTTTTTTTTGTTGCACACGTTCAAATAAATGCCACTCTCATGTCGGAAGCAACATATTGTTCTATATGATTATTATAATTAATGTATAAAACAAAAAATAAAAAAAACAAAAAACAAAACAGAAATTATGCAAAAAAAAGAATTAAAAAGAAAAATTCGTGACATAATATAAAAAGTGTATGATGATGAATGAAAAGAAATTTTTATTATGCAAAAATATATATTTATCTTAAATATATGTATTTGCGTAAAATTTGATAATTTTTTTTTTTATTTTTGTCAAAGAAAAAGTTTTTACATACATTCATCGAATACGCGCTAGAACAGTTCCTAAGTTCGCGCTACTTTTCATTCTCTGGAATATTATTTCAATTTAAAAACAAAAAGAATGAATAAATAAATGCTTTCACAACAAAACTAATAGGAACGTGATTCTTTTATATGTTGTGTTAATATTTTTTTTGTGTTCCACATTTTAATTTTTTGAAAATTTTGAGTTCATTTTCATAATGAGCGACCTCAAAAACTCACCGAGAAAAAAAGTGAGACAAAAATAACGAATTTTTCAAAAAAATGTCCGCCATACTGGATCCGCCATTTTGAATTTTTGAAAATTAAGTTTATTTTCGTAATCAGCGATGCCGAAAACCCCCCGAGTGGAAAAGTAAGGCGAAAAAAAGGGTTTTTTGAAAGAATGTCGCCATATTGGATCCGCCATTACAAATTCAAAAAAAATGAGTTTAGATTCGTAATCAGCGACCTCGAAAACCCCCGAGTGGGTAATTTCAGACAAATCCGATCAATTTTTTGATTAAATTAACGCCATATTGGATCCGCCATTTTGAATTTTTGAAAATGAAGTTTATTTTCGTAATCAGCGACCCCAAAAACCCCCGAGTGGATAATTTTATCGAAATCTGATTACTTTTTGATTAAATTAACGCCATATTGGATCCGCCATTTTGAATTTTTGAAAATTAAGTTTATTTTCGTAATCAGCGACCTCGAAAATTCCTGAGTGGATAATTTTAGGCAAATCCGATCACTTTTTGAAAAAATCAACGCCATATTTGATCCGCCATTTTGAATTTTTGAAAATAAACTTCATTTTCGTAATCAGCGATGTCGAAAACCCCCGAGTGGATAATTTCAGGTAAATCCGATCACTTTTTGAAAAAATTGACGCCATAGTGAATCCGCCATTTTGAATTTTGAAAAACTAAGTTCATATTCGTAATGAGCAATGCTAAGGAATGCAAAAAATCCAAAAATAACCTCGTTTCATAAAAACCTGGTAAAATTTCGAAAGAAAAACTCAAACTAATCTGCAATTTTTAATTTTTATAAATTAAAGATTAAACATCGAAATTATTATTAGGTTTTTAACTCGAATTCTTCTATTCATTTCTGTACTTCCCCCGATTTTCTATTCTTTTTTTATGGAAATAAAAGAAAATAGTTTTTTTTTAATATTTACATCAAGAATATTTTCAGGGTAAGTTAATATTTTCCATTATATATTTATTCTTACATTAAAAATATTTATCTAACTTTACTGTATATTTGAAACTTGCAAAATTTGGTAAAATATTCAACAAAAGAAAAGAATGTTTACAATTTTGTTAGTATTTCTTTTTAAATCTCCCGCCATTTAAATTTCATTTTGTCAGGGATGGGTAAGTAAAAAAAAAATTCCCGAAGTTAAACATAACTACACAACCCTGAATAGCAGATTTTTAACTACCAGTCCCTGATATGTAGAGAAAATGTCGAGTCGTACTTACCCATCCCTGCTTAGTTGTCCATTAGGTTAGGTTAGTAGAATAAAAATGAATGTCAGTCTGTCAGTGTTTGCATTGGAATAAAAACATTTACTTTCAATTATAAATGTTATTTAAATATAGTTTAATTTTTTGTTAGTTAACAATTTGCCTTTTCATTATGTTATAGTTTCAATAATTACCACAATGATGAACGATAAACAAAATGGATTGTCGGTATGTGAAAATTCAATATTGAGTATAATTTACACAAGATTTTTTGTCTTTTTTTTTGTTGTGTTATTATAAACATAAATATAATAATATTTAAGTATAAACATTTATTCATGTTTATTTTATATAAAAATACATTATATTTTGAAAGAAATACATTTTTTTTCTATAAACACTTAATAATTTGAGGTTAGGTTTCACTGTTTATGTCAAAAGAAAAAAGTATTTATTTTCACGTTTTAAAACAAAAATATCCACTTCTTTCTTATCCTGCTAATAAATTGAATTCATGCAACGAATTTTATTATTCATGAAGAAATTTAAATATTTATAAAAATAATTTAACGCTTCCGATAATTTAATTATTGCCAAGAATTTTATAACAGTTTTTAAATAATTAATTTCTTTCGACTAATTTTATGCAAATTCTAATTTAAATAACTAAATTTCTGAGAAATTTTTATTATTCACGAAAAGAATTGAATTCTTACAAATAATTCTATTAAAATTTTTACAATACTTGAGTGTATGTGTGGAAAATTTTATTTGTGAAAATAATTGAATTTTTCAATTAATTAATTTAAAATAGTATTACAAATAATTGAAATTCTTTGATGAAAATCAAATTTTGTTAATAAGATGAAAATTAATTTTTGCTCTAAATTTTTATTCTAGCGGGAAGAAATTGCCAAGCAATTTGTATTGCCCGAGAGAAAGAGTAAAATAGCAACTCTCTTGAAACAAGATGGACAAGAATATTGTATTTGTCGGACTTCGGATAGTTCACGATTTATGATGTAGGTATTAAAAAAAGAAGAAAGAATATTTCATTTTTATTTAAAGATTTTTAATTATTATTCTTCTCTTTACAGTGGTTGCGACTCTTGTGAAGAATGGTATCACGGTGACTGTATAAATATAACAGAAAAAGAAGCGAAATATATCAAGCAATTTTTTTGCGTTGTAAGTATATCGGAAAGTATTTTCTATAACAATATTATTTTTCTATTATTTAACTTAAATATTAAAAGAAAATACTTATAATTAAAAATAGAAATAAAAAAAATATTAAAATATTACTTATATTAAAAAAAATACTTATAATTAAAAATAGAAATAAAAAAATATATTAAAATATTATATTAAAATACTTATATTTAAAAGAAAAATTATCTCAACATGTGAATAAATAAATAAATAATTTCAGCGTTGCAAGGATGAGGATCCGACCCTAGTCACTCAATATAAACCGAAACGTTCCGAGAGGGAGGATCGTAAACACAGAAAGCATCGTGAAAAGGAAAAAGAACGCCACGAAAAATATCGTCATGAGCCAATCAATTGGGATGCGCCCGTTGTGAAAAAATCCTCAAAACGTTGTGGCGAGTGTACCGGTTGTCTTCGAACTGAAAATTGTGGAAAATGCGACGCCTGCAGGTATAAAAAAAATAGTTTTATATTTAAAAAGAATAGAAAAGTAATTTCTATTATGTTAAATTTTTATTTATCTTTTATTTACTATTTATTTTATATTTATTATTTATTTTTTAAGGCACTTGAAAAAATTTGGTCCATCAGTGAGATTAAAGCTGCGTTGTGTACAAAAAACATGTCGCATTTCAATAGAGCCAATGAAATTAAAGAGTTTAGGTAAAATCTCAAAACCAAGTAGAAAACGTCGACGTGACTCGAGTAATGAGAGAATTGATCATCATGAACCGCCAATTCATTGTTATGGTCCAACGTGTATGAAACAATCGCGCGTTGGCAGTAAATATTGTTCTGATGAATGTGGAATGAAATTGGCGACAAATCGAATTTATCAAGTTTTACCACAACGATTGCAGGAATGGGCAATGACGCCCTGCATTGCCGAACAAAATAATCGACGTGCCTTGGAGAATGTGAGAAAGCAACAGAACGATGTGAGAAGAATTCTTCATGAATTAGATAAACGACACATGGAATTGGATCAACTTGTCGAGAGAGCAAGACACTCGACAATCGATCCTAAAACTGAAATCGATGAGAATGATGACACCGAAATGAGTATGTACTGCATAACTTGCGGTCATGAAATTAATTCACGAACTGCCATCAAACATATGGAAAAGTGTTTCAATAAGGTGACAATTTTTGTAATATTAATTTTGGCCCCTAAACGTACCCTATTTTGAAAATTTACCCTAAATTTCCCCTATTTTTTTCTTTTATCTTTTAATGATAAATTCACACCAAATTTAGCAAAGTGCCGTTGAAACTTTCAATTGGAAACTTTTGTTTTGAAATTTTCAAATCTTGAAATTTTTATAATCGATGAAATTTTTCATGAAATTTATAAAATTTTTAAGATTAGTATTTTGGTGAAGTCAAGTCTCAATTATTTTTAAAAGTTGGTTGTTTTTTGTAATATTATTTATTATTACAAAAGTTTTAATGCAATTATCTTGACAAATAACAAAATTCTTCACAGAAATTCAATAATTCTTAGGAATTTTAATGAAATTCTTTACAAAATTCAATTATTTTCATAAATTTCAATATTTATCCCAAGAATTCAATTATTTTCAAAAGTAATAAAATTCTTTGAAGAAATTCAATTGTTTTTAAAAATTTTCACAAATATCTCGTCAAGAATTCAATTATCTTTACAAATAGCAAAATTTTTCGCCAAAAATTCAATTATTTTCAAAAATTTATAAAAATCTTTGCAAAAGTTCAATTACTTTCAAAAAGTTTTTTGCAATTCAATAATTTTCAATATTTACTATTTTCATAAAATTTATCAACAGATTTAATTATAGAAAAAACTTTTTAATACAATTTTACGAAAAGATTCAATTATTTTCATAAATAATAAAATTTCATTTACGAATTCAATTATTTTCATCACTGAATTTCAAATAATTTTAATACAATTTTAAATAAATTCCTTGAAAAATGCAATTATTATTAAAAATTTTATTAAAACTTGAGGAAAGAATTCAATTTTAAGAAACATTCAATTATTCAATAAAACAATAAAATTCGTTGCAATAATTCAAATATTTTCATAAATAACATTTAATTCGTCGCAGAAAATCAATTATTTTCAAAAATTTTTAAGTAATTTTACAAAAGAATTCAATTAGCTTGATAAACAACAAAATCGCATAAATTCTTCCCATAAAATCAATTATTCTAATGGAATTTTATAATAAAATTCTTTTCCAAAATTCAATTATTTTGATAAATATCAATATTCATCACAAGAATTAAATTCTTTTGAAAAGTAATAAAATAATTTGCAAAAATTAAATTATTTTCAAAATTAATAAAATTCTTCGCTGAAATTCAATTATTTTTAAAGAATCTACAAAAAATTGTGAACATTTCAATTATCATTATAAGTGAATAGAAAAATTCGTCGACAAAATTCAATTATTTTCAGGAATTTGAATAAAATTCATTTTAAAATTCATTTATTTTCATAAATAATAAAATTCTTTGACAATATTCAATTCTTTTGAAAAGTAATAAAATACTTTGGAGAAATTAAATTATTTTCAAAATTTTTTTCAAAAATTCTCGTCAATAATTAAAATATCTTTATAAATAGATAGGAAAATTTCTTCTCAAGAATTAAATTATTGTCAAAAATTTTTGAAAAATTTTTCTCAAGAAGTCAATTGTTTTCAAAAATTTAAATAAAATTCTCCTCATGAATTCAATTGTTTTCAAAAATTATTATTTAAATTCTTCTCAGGAATTCAATTATTTTTAAAAAATTGAATAAAATTCTTCAAAAAGTTTTCAATTATTTTCAAAAATTGTTATAAAATTCTTTAATTATAATAAATTTTATTAAACTTTTAATTAAATTCCATAAAAGAAATTAAATATTTTCAAAAGTTTTTAATACAATTCTTTGTAAAAATTAAATTTTAAGAAGCATTTAATATTATTTATTTTTATATTTAAATAATTGATTTCTCGTAGAATTAAATTTTTAATTTTTGTAATTTTAACTAACTGTAGAATTAATTTTTTTGAAAAAGTTTAATTGAATAATAATTGATGTTATTGATTTAAAGTAGAATTTTAGTTAAAAATTCTAGAAAATGTTAATTATTAAAAATAATTATTAAATTATTAAAAATAATTGTTTTAAAGAAGAATTTAAAAAAAAAATTTTTAAATCTAGAAAATAATAATTGAATTAAAATGATGAAAATAATTTCGAAGATTTTATGATAAAAATATTTTTATAATATAAAATAATGTTTTTATCACTCGGTAATTTTTCATTATTAGAAAACAAGAAGAAATCGTTCACTCCGAGTCTTCGATTCGGAGTGAACGACTTCTTCTTTTTTACATAATATTCTTATAAGTTGTTTAATTTCAAAAAGGTTTGAATTTGAATATTTTGAAAATTTTCAATTCCTACGGAAAAATAATAGAATATTTATTTAAAAATGAAGTTATTGATGTTTTCGAATAATTTTACTCTAAATTTGCGATTAACCTTATTCAATAATATTTTTCTCTCTCTCTTTTATTCGAACCGTTCGAACTTTTTGTTTATAAAAAATCGTTTCTTATTTTGATTACAGTACGAGTCGCAGGAATCGTTTGGATCGAGTTTCAAAACAAGAATCGAGGGTCAAGTTATGTTCTGCGATTTTTACAATCCCGTTAATGGAACATATTGTAAAAGATTGCGTGTCCTGTGTCCTGAACATTGTAAGGATCCAAAAATAACTGACACTGAAATTTGTGGTTGTCCATTAGTGTCAAATGTATTTAATTTAACCGGTGAATTTTGTCGTGCACCAAAAAAAAGTTGCGTCAAACATCATGTATGGGAGAAATTACGTCGCGCTGAAATTGACATGGAACGTGTGAGACAATGGTTGAAAATTGACGAATTAGTTGAACAGGAGAGACAAATACGTTCAAATATGGCATCGAGAGCTGGTGTATTGGCATTAATGCTTCACTCGACTTATAATCATGAGCTTATGGAGCAAATGACTCAGGAGCAGAATATTAATCAAATGGAGGCCATGGAGGAGGAATATCGTCGTGGTTATGGTATGCAGAACGAGCGAAATGAATAATGATTTACAAGTATTTTTTCTTTTTTTTTTTTATTTATATTTAAGGGATATTTCCAATTTTTTCGATGTGTATGATTTCAATTTCTATATTTGATGAATTTAAACATTAAATTTCTTTTTATCTAAAGTGTTTGAAATTTAAATTGTTTAGTATTTTGTAATTTTTGTTCTTCTATTTAGGTTCTCTGAGTGTTTGTGTTGTGAAAGAAGGAAAGCGAAAGCCTTCGCACTCATTTACTAAAACCTACTATTTACTACTTTTTTTTAAGTTATGATACTATTTGGGCACTTTTTAAGATTTCAATCACTAAAAGCGACTATTTCTGTTTTTTTTTAGAATTTCCACTACTTAGAAATTCGCTAATACTAGAAATCAAAAAATTATTCTCAAAAATTATAATCAAATTCTTTAAAACGATTCAATTATTTTCAAAAAATATTCGAAATTCAATTATTTTCAAAAAATATACGAAATTCAATTATTTTCAATATCTAGTATTTGCATCGCAAAAGAATTCGATTATTTAAAAAGAAAATTGATAAAATTCATCCAAAATTCAATTATTTTCATCAATAATAAAATTTCCAGAGGAATTCAATTAATTTAGAATATCATTTTCGATAAAATTTCGAATAAATCAATTATTTAACAAATTATACAATTCTTTAAAATAATTTAATTACTTTCACTAATAATAAAATTTTTCATATGGAAATTCAATTTTTTAAAATAATTTTTGATAAATTCCAAGCAAAAATTCAATTATTTTTATAAATAATAAAACTCATCGAAAAATTTCAATTATTTTTAATAGTACTATTTGAAATTAATTAACCGAAAAATTCAATTGTTTTCACAAATTAAGTTTTCCTCAAGAATTCAATTATTTAAAATAAAATTTTTATAATATTTATTATATTTCGAAAAAATTCATTATTTAAAACAATTTTTATAAAATTCTTGTGAAGAATTCAATTCTTTTTGAAAACATTTTAATAAAATTATTTGCAATTTTGATTGAATTATTTTTATAAATAATAAAATTCTTCTCAGGAATTCAATCATTTTTGAAAACTTTATTAAAATTCTTTGCAACTATTCAATTATTTTCATAAGTAATAAAATTCATCGCAGGATTTCAATTATTCTTAATACAATTTTACAGGAATTGCTTAAAAAATGTAATTATTCTTAATAAATTATTTTAAAAAATGTTTTTTTTAAATTCTTTGGAAGAAATCAATTGTTTTTCAAAAATATAAGAATTTTTCACAGGAATTCAATTATATTCAAATATTTTAATAAAATCGTTCGAAAGAAATCAATTATCATAAATACAATTTTAATTAAATTTTATTAAAACAATTCAATTATTTTTTAGATTTTAATAAAATTCTTCCGAAGAATTCAATTATTTACATAAATAATAATTCTTCGAAAGAATTCAATTATTAAAGATAAATAACAAAATTATTCCCGAAAATTCAATTATTCTGAGGCATTTAAATAAAATTCTTTGCAAAATTCAATTATTTTCATAAATAACAATATTCATCACAAGAATTCAATTATTTTAAAAAGTAATAAATTTCTTCTTGAAAATTCAATTATTTTTAAAAATTATAACAAAATCGTTCTCTGGAATTCAATTATTAAAGAATAAAATTTTTCTCAGAAATGCAATTTTTATATTTGAAAATGTTAATAAAACCCTTAACAACTATTCAATTATTTTCATAAATAATAATATTTATTGCAGGATTTCAATTATTTTTAACACAATTTTACAGGAATTGCTCAAAAAATGTAATTATTCTTAAAAATTTAATTTCAATTCCTCGAAAAAATCAATTATTTATAAAACTGTTTTTTTAAATTTTGTGGGAAAATTTAAATATTTTCAAAAATATTAGAATTTTTCACAGAAATTCAATTATTTTTAAATGTTTTAATAAAATTGTTCGAAAGAAATTAATTATTTTAAATACAATTTTAATTAAATATTTTTGAAATAATTCAATTATTCTTTTGGATTTTTAATAAAAAATTCTTCCTGAAAATTCAATTATTTTGAGGCATTTTAATAAAATTCTTTGGAAAATTCAATTATTTTCATAAATAAGAATATTCATCACAAGAATTCGCAGGAATTCAATTATTTTCATAAATAATAAAATACTTTTTAGGAATTCAATTATTTTAAAAAAAATTAAATAAAATACCTACCACACATACACTCAAGTATTGTAAAAATTTTAATAGAATTCTTTGTAAGAATTCAATTCTTTTCATGAATAATAAAAATTTCTCAAGAATTCAATTATTTAAATTATAGAATTTGCATAAAATTTGTCGAAAGAAATGAATTATTTAAAAATTTTTATAAAATTCTTCGCAAGAATTAAATTATTTTTATAAATATACTTAAATTCTTTTATGAATAATAAAATTCATTGCAGGAATTCAAATTTATTAGCAGGATAAGAAAGAAGTAAATATATTTTTGATGAAAATTAGGAAAAAGTCAGGAAATAAAATATAAAATGGAACTTTTGTAAAACCGAAAGCAAAAAATAATGAGTGGAAGAGAGATAGTCGATAGCATTATCCTTATCTTTTTATTCTTTAGAGTGTGTACCGAGCTTTAATTACTTCCGAGTATCTTAGCTACCCAACCCTGTTCGCGCTTTCTCCATTGACTCCAGTAGTACTTTTGTATTGTAGATCGGCAGCACACTTCGTCTACAATACGAACATTGTCGAGTAACGTGCGTTCAACAAGTTAGGACAAGTATTTGAATTATATGTAAAATTGTAAAATATAGCAGAGAGAAAAGTGTTTCTTTTTTCTTTTAATAATTCACAAAGTTTAATTAGTTCATAGTTCATATAAATGTGAAAGGAAAAAAGTGATAAATCATCAAAATAGGTGAGAATAATAAAATTTTGTGAATTTCAATATTTTGAATCAACAAAAGTTTATTTTAAATTAAGTTCTTACTATTGAACAATTTTTATTAAATTACAATTGCAAAGAATTAAATTAAAATAATTTTTCTTTCTTTCAGGTGAATTTTAATTTACAGTTATACAATAATTCTGTTTGTAAATTTTTCTAAAAAAAAAAAAGTGCGTCATTAAATTCAGTGATGTCTTTTGATGGGATTTTCGAGGAATTTGTGAGTGAATTTTTTTCAATTTCCGCTTCTGTGTTATTTGCAAGGTTAGTAACATTATAAATAATTTTTAAAAAATTGGTATTTTTAATTAATTTCGTGAAAAAATAATTATTTTAATCCTAATAAGAATATTAGAAGAAAATTAATATTAATCAGTTTTTTTTAACATTTGCCGACATTATTATTATTAATTATTTTAATAATTTATTACAAATTTTAATAAAATTTCTCGATAGAATATAATTATTTTTAAAAATATTAATGAAATTCGATTATTTTCAAGAATTTTAATATAAATTCAATTCTATTCATGATAATTTTAATAAAATTTCTCTAGCTGGTTCAATTATTTTTAAAAATTGTCGTAGAATTTTTCTAAACAATTCAATTGCTGTCCCAAGTTTTTAATATAATTCTTTGTAAATTTAAATTATTTTCAAAATTTTCAATTAAAATTACTTTAAAAAAAATTCATTATTTTTACGAAATTTAATGAAATTATTTAAAGAAATGTAATTATTTACAAAAACTGTAATAAAATTGTTTAGAAGAATTACATTTTTTATAAATAATTTTATTTTAATTAATTAATTAATTAAATTTAATATTTCAATTTAATTTTTTTATAAATACTTTAACAAGCATTCAATGATTTTTATTACGTTGACAATTTAATAATTTCTGAAAATTTTTGCAAAATATTAAAAAATAAATGATTTTTTGAGAAGAATTTTATTAAAATTGTATTTAAAATAATTGTATTTCTGAGAAAAATTTACTAGGTATTTATTGATATTATTTAATTCTTTCGAAGAATTAAAAAAAAAATATGTTTAAAAATAATTTAATTTTCTCTGAAATTCAATTAAAATTGAATTTAAAATAATTCAATTCCAGCGAAAATTTCATTATTTATAAACATAATTGAATTTTTAAATTGAATTTTATTAAAATTTTTTTAAATAATTGAACTCTTGTCAAAAATTCAATTTTTTTAAAAAAATAATTCAATCTTCTTGGAGAGTTTTTCCAAGTTTTTTAAAAAAATAATTGAAATTTTCGAAGAAATCAATTGAAATTGTTTTGAAAATAAGTGAAACCCTGATAAGAATTTTATTATTTATATAAAAATAATTGAATTTTTTGACGAAGATTTTTCTTATTTATAAATAATTTGAATTTTTGCAAAGAATTTTATTACAATTATTGAAAATAATGGAATTCTCCATAAAATTCAATTATTTTCAAAATTCAAAATGAAAAGCATGAAATATTGAAAGAGATAGTAAAGAAAAATAGAGGTAAGAAATAGTTGATCACCAGATGGCGTATTGAAGTTAAAAATTAGTTTTCTCGGACGTTCAAATTAAATTCGTTTTAATAAGGTAATAAAAATATTTTCTAGTTGAAAAAAATAATAAAAATCAATTCTTTTTGTTTTATATGTAAATTTATTTATTCGTTGAAATAGGCTCTTTCAGTCGATAATAATATATTTATTATATACTTCCAAGAAGGCAGTGTGAAGAGGCGAGTGAATAGGAATACAATAAATCTGCTGGCACTTGTTATAATTATAATATTCTATAAATATTCTGTAAAAAAATGTCCTTTTTTCTATTATTTATTTTTCTGCTTTTTTATGAATTATTACCATTTATGTCTTTATGATAAAAAATATAAAAATGTTAGGGGTACATTTTTTTAGCAAAAAAAAAAAAATAGTTGGAATAAATTAATAAAAAAATATAAAATAGGTAAACTAGAGAGAAATTAAGGAAATTAAGAAATTAAGGAAAATTAATGTTAATGTAAAAATAATTGAATTGTTAATTATTTAAATATTTTTTTTATAAAATTGTAGTGGAATTTTTTTCTGATCTCTACGGTAGTTTTTTCTCCTCTATTTCAATTATTATTTACTTTTCATTTTTCTTAATATAAATA